AACCTCTGTGACAAATACATGGTTGTTTCCTGTGACCATTTCACAATAAAAGTCAGCACATTTTAAATGCTTTTTGATTTCTGTGAATCTCTCGAGTCTGTGAAGGACATTTAAATCCAGCATTGGAATGATGATGAAAACATATAAATATAGAGGTATTTACTTAATTTAAATACATTAAATGTCTTTTGCAGAGCAGACCATAAATAGTATCAAATACAGAGTTTAAGTTAATGAAAATCTCAAAGACTCTAAATTTCACGTTGTTTTGTTGCCTGAATAAAATCTTGTAAACGCAGATCTTTGCAGCATCCCTAGCATAAAACCGCTTTTGTTAGTTTCCTATACCTCTGCGCAGTCCAGGAGCAGTGTCCCCTACAGTTTCAGTTAGAGTTCAACAAGTGCTACTATCACAGAAGTTACATTCACATACGTATGAGTATGTACTCATGCAAGGAAAAGAACTCATGTCCGACAATTTAACAAAAATGATGGAAACATTTCTGTAACATAAAAAAGATTTCACCTCTTTGAGTCTTCAATCATTCGCACTGAGACTCGCAAACAGCACAAATGAATAATTCAACAGATGAAGCAGCTTATCACAGAAACTAATTCCTCTGGTGTTTGGAGGCCATAGTGGTGTAAGTCCGACAGTCACCACGCGCCTAATGAATAAGAGTGTAGATAAAATAGCTCAACAGCCTTTACATTTGGAAATAAGCTTTCTGATCCTTTAAATCTCCAGGCAACACTCAGGGATCAAGAAAATGTCCAGTTTGACTTCAATGCAGCAGAGTAGCACCGATACATTCACAAAGAGTTTCCTCACACATTTTTACATTTTTAAAATATTCCCCAGACACCAAATATAGCTCTACCAACAGTCGGTTCCTATGGGGAACAATCAGGTGCAAATTCAGTGTTTATTTTCTATTTTGGTTTCAATGTGTCACTTAATGAACTTCAAATAACTTCTCAGCTGCTAGTGTCGCACGTTTATCCATTCCTCCTCATATGACTTCACAAAACCTACATAATCTTCCGCCACACTGCCAGATTACAATAGAAGATGAGAAATGTTATAGGTGGATAAAAGATTTCATGTTACAGCCGGAGAATTTAATGGCATGGATTACCTCAAACAAAATGTACTTTGAATTGACTTGCAACTCAGGTTCCAGTGTGTCTACTTTGCTAGCTAATTTTGATTAAAAAGTAAAGTAGTATCTCTGCTCCCTCTTTCCAATGCTAAAAGCCCTGCTTTTAACAAGAGCCGTGAAAAAAAACTGCAAACCCTCTGATTAAGATGGAGTTGTCCTTGCAAGCTTTTGAGCGTTTCAAAGTCAACCCATCGAGGAGGGGAATCTAAAGCTGAGTGTCTGGGGAGCAGAAACACTGGAGGGAGAGGGCTCTCATTTGGCTTCAGTTCTCCTATGGCAGCCATGTTCCCCAGGCTGATGGATGAAGGGAGAAACTCATCTCATGACTAATTATTTATCTTCCCTCCAGAACTGTTGTGTCTGGGGGTTGAAAATAACACAACCCTCTGCTCTGACCAAGTAGTAAACAAACTAGAGTGATGGAGGTGACTGGAGTCTCCTCTTTTTTTCCCCACAACATGGTAGAGCAAGGCTACCATACATAGAGCCCACAGACAAAATGTGGCAGGTTATATATCTGCCTTCCTAAATGACGTCTGTTAGATTAAAAATAGTATTATTTTATAGTGAGTGGTTTTATTATGAGTTTTTTTAAGTATATCATTGGTGCCTGCCTGCCACTTTTTCAAGAATTCAACTTTGAAAGAATTAGAACATGTAATTTACTTGAATTAATTTCAATGAAACCCATATCGCTCAATCCTCACTTGAAATTTGTTGTTGTGATAAAGTTACTGTGAGGAAGTTCAAGTTTTAATAGGCAGCAAAAAGCTTTACCTTTATTTACAGCTTTTCCATCCATCCAAAAGAGTCACGATTATCAGTTCAGTACGTTTTACTTCTTTCCTCTGTTTTTTGTTATTGAGGAGAACAACATCCTCACTTGGAGAATACAAAAGGGCACTGCTCCCCACAGTTTATGAACACCCCCTGCAGGAGTGTACGACACAGCCTGTTGCCCTATTACATTGTCAATTCACACAGGTCATATGTTCAAAATTTTCCCCCACATTTGAATGGTAGTTCAGATCTCAAGAGACAGCTCTATTGCCAATACTGAAAGACATTATGATTTACAACTTGTAATACTGAGCTAGCATAAAAGCTATTCAACTGAGTGTCCAACTAGACCCTTCAGCAGGTCAGGGCCTTTTGCAGGCTGGTCAAGTTCTCTGAAAACCATTTCTTTATGCACTTTGCTTTGTGTGTGGGGACATTCTCGTGTTGACACAGGAAAGGTCTTCCTTCAATTTGTTGCCATAGAAGCACACTCGTATCTACAGCATGATGAATATGATGTAGCATTATAAAAGGGCTATTTGTAAGTTTTCTCTGTCGCTGAATCTGGTTTCTTGTGTAGAGTAGGTGGTGGTGATGGCCAAGAGCTTCAGCCATCATTACATGTACAAGACCAGAGGTTATAATACGCCCTCTGAACAGAGCTTCTTTTTCAGGGCAGCCTGGATGCTACAGTTACTCGGTATGGGAAAGTAATGAGTTCGGCCACACCAAGGCTAGTGATAGAAATAGAGGCAAAACAAGAGTTTGCCTGTTGTTTGTGGTTTGGTGTTGCTTTCCCCCCCTGGAGACAGCTCTTGGTGAGTAAAAGAATGAACTTTGATGCTGAACTGATAACATTTCCTCTTGAGTGATAAGTAAACAGCTGTTTATGCTAATGCTGGCTATGTAGCAATAGCAAAATTTACAAACAGCTCCTTTAAAAGATAGCCTGAGATACTTTTTTTAAAATCCTAATACAAAGACTAAAAGCCAGTGTATACTAAGGCCAGGTAGCCACACCATTTTGAACAACTGCACTGTAACAAATGGGAGACAAACGCCACAGTTGTTCTGTGCAAAAACGCATTCTGAAGCTAATATCATGATACATCCTCCTGGCAGCTGCATGTAAGTTAGTAGACGGCACAAACAAAGAGAAATAAAACTAAACAAGACTGTCATAACGTAAATACCACATTTTTGCACTAGGTCATTTTTCCCCATCTTTTACTGCTCAGTTGCTCTACAAACGGTATCACTTCACAAGTATGGAGAAGACGACTGATTAGAGGGATTAATAACTATTTCAGTGAACATATTTCATGTGAGTTTTTAATGAAAATTGACAGAACGTTTCTTTACAATCTCCCTTAATTCAAGGGATTAGAAGCTCAGTATGTGGAAAGTGATGTCCACATGCATTTGGCCATGCATCTTAAAATAATATAATATAATTGTGTTTTGTTAATAGTGATGTTCTCTAATTACTCAATGTAACCTGTAATCCACCATTCAGAGAATACCACAGTATAACACTTGGCCCACAGAATGTGCTGCGCAGACCTGGCTTTACTGTAGATTTACACTCAGTTTAAAACTGAGCAGACACCAACCAGGAGGCATTCACTTCTAGTAGAGGTAGGTCTGTCCTCCAGCACTTTGAGCTCCTTCAATATCTTATTCATGTATTCAAGGTGAGAGGAGAGAAGAGCAGCCAGTGAGAGCCCAAAGGGTCAAACAACAGGGGTGAAGGGGGGGGGGGGGGGGGGGGGGGCGGCGGCACTGGTGGTTGAGAGATGGAAAGGGTGAGAAGAAAAAAAAAGAGAGACAAGAAAAGCCCTGACTCCCTCTCATCATTCGATGAACCTATCATCCTGCAAAGAAGAAGGGCTTGGGTCCTGGAGCTCCACACAGACCTGGATCAAAGGCAATCCCCGTCTGATCCAAATGTCGTTTGAATGTTTTATGGTAGGCACAGCATCGAGGTGATGCTTGAATAAGACGTGGCTCAAGAGAGCTCTGATCAGAGGTGGTCTGTCATTTTCAGATGAAAACATTATATTGGGGTGCGTTTTTTCTCTCAACACATAAACTGTATATATATACTGTGGGTATGTGTGTGTGTATATATTTATATATATATATATATACATAATTCATAATACTGATAAAATAGTCCCATTCCCTTTACAGTACGCCTTGATATCATCAGTCACTGGATTCATAAATGGCTACTGAGGCTGCACCAGCTATTCACATTCACATAGGAAGACTACAGCAAATATACAACTGTTGAATAATGGAGCACTCAAATACTGAGGTATGATGCATACACCATACACCCACGTTTACACACAAACATATCCACTTTAAGTGACGTACCACACCATATGGAGGTTAATTCATTTGTGTCATTGAAAGGTTAAGCGCATTGTATCACTCGCATCTTTTTTTTCCAATTTATCAAACATCAGCCCTTTTTTCATATGCACACACCTACATGTGCATTCAATCATACATGAACGCACAGGAACCTACACACAAACACAGATTCTTTCAGCTCTGACAACAGCCTCCAAGGATGCAGAGGAGCTGTTGCTTTCAAAGACTTGTTTCCTCAGAGGAGAAAGCACAGGATGAGTGTATTTACAGTTTATTATGCAAATATCACCACTAAGCACTCTCATATAATGCAAATGCACATACATGTGTGCAGCATGTTGTGCTATCTCAGAACTTTCATTTCATTTGTGCTCCATACTGTACATGAAAAATATTTCTGAAGAACTAACACTGTAGATGTATCAACAAGCAAAGAATAAAATGAGTAATACACACTGAAAGGAACTTGCTGCTCATACAGCTGTATACATTTTGATGTGAGATTTGATTTGGGGTCACATCCTATGTTTCTAAGCTACTATGGCTCTGGAAAGAAAGAAAAATCTCTCTAAATGTGGGTCACTAGATAACTGAGCATGTAATGGGTTAACTTGCTGCATTTATAAAAGGAAATGGGAGGGAACCGGCACTCTGACGTCAATACTGAAAGAGAAACTAAAAGACGAGGAGTAGAGACGCATGCTTTTAATTTCTTTTACAAGTCTGAAAGGTTAAGAGAAGCCTCATACAACAGGTAAAGTTGCATTTTGTCAAGTTTACAGTCCTGTCTTTTGTGTAAACTAGTGTATGTCCATAATTTATGACTGACAACTTCTTATCTAGACTCAAATTATGCTGCTTTAACTTTTTCTTTATTTGTCCTTATACTTTCTAGTTATGGCTTGTTCCAGTAGTCTAATAGCTGAACAAAACTTTGTTTGTTCCATCTGCCTGAGTGTGTTCACTAAACCAGTGTCGATTCCCTGTGGGCACACCTTCTGTTCTGAGTGTATCACAAACTACTGGCACAGTAGAACTACATTCCCGTGTCCACTGTGTAAAGAGGAGTTCTGCATAAAACCAGTGCTTCGGGTTAACACTGTCATTCAGGAGATGGCTGAACAGTTAAAAAACAAAGTTGGAGAAACTTCCGGTACCTCCGAACAAGCAGGAAATGGGAGTGTACTCTGTAGTATGTGTTCAGGGGCAAAAGTCGCAGCCCTGAAGTCCTGCTTAGTGTGTTTCATGTCTTTCTGTGAAAAACATCTGGAGCCTCATCAGAAAATTCCAACCCTGAAGAAGCACAAGCTGATCAACCCAGTCGAGAACCTGGAGAGCAGGATATGTAAGAGGCATGACGAGCCTTTGGACCTGTTTTGCAGGGTGGATCACGAGTTTGTGTGTGAGGTCTGCAAAAGTGACCATAAAACTCATATGATAGTGCCTCTAGAGGAGGAGGCTCAAATGAGAAAAACCCTGCTGGGGAACGAAAAGACACACACAGATAAGATGATCGAGGAGCGTCAGCAGAAAATTCAAGAGATTCAAAACTCAATGGAGGCTAGTAGAAATAATGCAGCAAAGGCACTGTCATGCAGCTTGCATGTGATGACTGCTCTGGTTGCCTACATTAAGAGAAGCCAAGCTGAGCTGACTGAGGTAATTGAGATGAAGCAGAAAAAAGCTGGAACAGAGGCAGAAGGATTCATTAAAGAACTGGGGGAAGAAATTATGCAAATAAATCAGAAAAACGTGGAGCTTAATCAGGTCTCACTTGCCAACGACCCCCTCAAATTCCTCGAGAATCTCCTCTCTCTTACCATCTCTAAGCCCCAGGTTAAGGACTGGTCTAATGTGACTCTTACCAGTGACGAGTTTATAGAACAGGGAGCCCTGGCCAAGCTGCAGACAACAGTCATGAGAGAAATAAGTATGCTGTGTGATCCCGACTTGAAAGAAAAGCAGCGGCATGCTGTAGATGTAACTCTGGATCCTGACACTGCAAACCCCCACCTCACTGTTTCTGCAGATGGGAAACAAGTCATACATGGAAACAGAAAGAGGAATGTCCCGAACAAACAGGAGAGGTTTGACCATGTCCTTAACGTCTTGGCAAAGGAAGGTTTCTCCTCAGGAAAATTCTACTATGAGGTCCAGGTGAAAGACAAACCACAATGGGATTTAGGGGTTGCAAGCCAGTCCATCAACAGAAAGGGAGATATTCGACTTAGCCCCAAGAATGGCTACTGGACTATTTGGCTGAGGAAGGGAAATGAGTTTACAGCCAATGCAGGCCCTGCCATTACCATCCCTGTGAGGAAGATGCCTCAAAAGGTTGGGGTGTTTGTTGATTATGAAGAGGGCCAAGTTTCCTTCTATGATGTAGATGTCAGGGCTAACATCTTCTCCTTCACCGAATGTAACTTCACCGAGAAGCTCTTTCCTTTCTTCAGCCCCTGTGATAATGACGAGGGCAAGAATTCAGCCCCCTTGATCATTACTCCCGTCAAACACAACAGCTGAGTTTTTTTTTTTTTCTGGGGTTTGTGAAAGAGAAAGAGAAAGGGAGAAAGATCACAATAGTAGAATTTTGACATGTTTTTATCTGTGAAACTCCAGTGTGTCATTCTGGTTGTCCCATCCATCAGCGTCAGTGTCACCTGTCACACAGACAGCTGTAGATCACCAACAGAGTCCACATGCAGCCATCAGGACATTCACTATACACATGGACTGACGGACAGACAGACACACACCTCTGACAGACACTGATATAGCCATGCATCTCCCTGGGTTACAAAAAGAAATCTTTATGAGCTGACCATTAACTTTGATACTTTAAAGCTGCTCCTGCGCACCACCATGGGCTCACAAATACCAGAATTATTTATACAAGCAGGTCAAATAGAATTTACAAATGATTCATACCATTTGTTTTGTGCTGCTCTCAGTGCCACATATCAGGACTTTTTCATAATGCCGTGATGGATGGTCCTAAAAGACTCTTATTATTCAGTTCTTCTAATGTGGCTCTGGATAATAACCGTTTTCTCCACAAATGAATGTGCTCAGTTAAAAGGTTAGTTATTAAATTGATCAGCCACAACACTGGAGCCTGACTGGCACATAATGCCCTGTCCTCTAATTAAAATTAGCCAAACGTGCAGGTGCAAGGCTAATTCAAATGTGGAATATCTGCCTGATTAGGAGAGACTTCAGTAACTTTTTATTGAGCAGAGTCAAATTAAATCTGTTTGTTCCTTTTTTTTTTTCTTTTTTTTTTTTTTTTTTTAGAGTTGTATATCTTTATTGTTATGATGCAGGTCTATTGAGGGTGTGCTTCTTAAATAAATCTCATCTGGTCATCAAGCAGCAAAAAGAGGTTTGGGAGACAGGAATACCAAAGCCCGTCACACTGGCCCATTGGATGTTGAATCATTTAGATGCCAGTAAAGCGGGTAGCCGTAAGATGAAAACCATATACTGGATCTTAATAATTACATGATATTTTACCTTGATAGTCATGCATTTTTGACGTTATTGAATTAGATCAAGACAACCCTGTAATCTGTTCATTAAAGTTAGTGATTCTCTAAGTGATTCATGATACACGTGTGAGAAAGTGCTGACAGACTATATTAGGGCTGAAACAATAAGTATAGTCATCAACAGTAAGTTTACAGAAATTTTGACAATCATTAATAAAAAAGAAAACGATAAATATGACTAAATGTGAAAATTTGTTGCTGTACTCCACTATGTACCATTGTTAATTGAATATTTTGACTTTTGGTAAAAAAAAAAGAAAAAAAAAGTAATTTTTGAAGATGCCACTTTGTATTTTCTATTTTTTCTGACAATTTTTGGCTCTTTTAAATGATTAACTCTAAAAATATGAAATAATAAACACATGAATGATGAAAATGTCGCTCTCGTCTGTATACAGTACTGTGTTTGAATGGATACTGCTGGATACTGCTGTGTGTTGAATTGAATGAAAAGTATGTCAACTATCTAATGTTTGCCTGAATGTCACTGAAAATAAAAAATTAAAAAAAAAAAAAAAAAAGGCATTTAAAAAGTTGTATCCAGTCATTTTTTCGATTTCTTTATCTGGGCATACACTTGATAAACACTCACAAGAATCTAAGAAATCCTGCCAGAAGAGAAAGACACTGAAAACTGAATTATTTCAATATGCAATTAAAGTGCATCTGTCACTTTGCAGAATATAAACACACATTAGAGTCTCTTGGCAGCCTGAGATTCCCACAACATATACTTAGCAATTTTGGAGCCACCACTTGCAAAATAATCAGTTAAGTTTCTTCCCCCTACAATTTGAAAAACAAAAGAAATGTTAATTTTGCCTTTTGGAAACAAGGGAATGAGATTTTAATGATTTGACATGGATATTTGCATGGCCTTGTCTCAAGTGATAACAAGTTATCTGCAGAATGGGAACAGGCATATGCAGGTGGTGAATAAATCTCATGAAACCACAGCTTTGTCCCAATCCAGAGCAAGACAGAGGTCCAAATCATTAATAACATGCAACAGGCAACTTGTTAACAGATATTATTCAGGAAAACAGTCCAGCATCTTGCAGCAGTATTCAGCTGGTACATCTCAGAACAAGGATAGCAAACTCCCAAGGGAAAAAGGTACCGGTGCACACTTTGTTCTTTGTATGATCATGTGCTTTTATTGTTACTGTTACTATTATTGAAGTTAATTTTGCAATTATTATCTTTATCTTGTTCTTATACTTAACTTTCCTATTTTCTTTACTATTTTGTCTTTCTTTTGTTTTGTTTTGTTTTCCTCTCTATGCTGAAAGGCCAGGAACACACTGGATGCATCGCAGCTGCAGAACGTCTTGGTTGTCATTTCGACGCCCATGTTAACGGGTTAGAGCGGAAGCGTGCACCTCCCAGCAAAAATAGATAGGGAAAAGGCCTGTTGATGTCATATTGAAATCATATCAGCAAAATAACATAAAACTTTCACCCTCTACGATTGTTTTCTACGTCTCAGCTGAATCTGAATATGATACAGACATGAAAAATTATAAATATATTTTTTAACCATTTTAGCAGCTGCATGTGGAGACGGAGGGTCTTTAATGATGTTTTCTGTCAAAAATAAATCAATAAATTAATGTATAATTAAGAGAAATCCAACATTCCAGTAGCCTGCAAACTGTATGTAGAGAGATAGAGCTGCAGTAGTAGTGACGCAGCAGAGACACAGCCGGTGTGAACACACACACGTGCTTCTCTGCAGCAGTTCAGTGTCGTCAGCGTTTAATAGAATACAAAACACAGCAGATTTTTAACTCTGATGGAGACACAGTTGTGTTTGCACTATTAAAGGCTGCAAGTCAATCAGCATGCTCAGTTCCCTTTTCCCTTTGAAGATATTATTATGGAGCAAAGAGAAGGTAGGGATTCTACATCTTGCCTAAGCACACATCAAGAGCAGGTGCTCATGGTCAGTGGTGGAAGTATTTAGATTAGATCTTTTACTTCAAAGTGTATAAATACTCCATAATCTCACTTAATTAAAAGTACATGAAATGTAATTAAAAATGTTACCTCATGTCTTTTGTTATATGAAGTTAGCACGCTAGCCTTGGCCTGTCTCATCACTTTCTGATAGCGACTCACTGTAGCCTCCAATCTGCCCTGAAGACGTAGCATAGCTCAGAGGGCATTCTATAACCTTTTGTATTATACATTACAACAGTTGCTGAAGCTCTTGTCAAGCAACAAACACCAGCACCCGCTCCCGGGAAGAAACCACGTTCAGTGGCAGAGAAAAATTACAAATAGCACCTTTAAATGAATATGGAACAGATTCAGATATACTTCCCTCACAGGCCTTTCTTACTGCGGCTCTTACAATGGTGGCTTTTTAAACTATGTATCCTTTGACCGACAGTCACCCAAACCTGAATGAACTGCAGTAAAAGCCACAGAATTATCAGTTGTGGTTTAGTAGCTCTATTGTATTCGAAATGTGCTCCCGATTAATACTATCATTATAACAGGCTCATTATAAAGTGTGCATGACACTATTCAAAAAATGACAGTTTCACCAGTCTAAAGGTGTCAATTTGAGAAGCTACTGATGCAGTCAGTGAGTGAAGTCACGTTTCGCCAGCACACCAGCAGCTTTTTAACTCCTCATTCTGTTGACTTGCCTTTGTTTAACCACAAAATAAATGCAGGGAGAAGGCCATCCTGGACATCCTGGACTGCTGTGAAATGCTGATACCAATAGAAAAAGGAAAATTCAAGCAGTTTTTATGGGGACCTGAGGCAGTCTTTGTCATGCACTGTTTGAAACCAGACACTGGTGAGGAGAAGCGCATGAGAGAATAATGAAAAGTGTGGTATGTACCTTTAAATGGAGCCTGTACAAATGAACCACAATGAGTTTACAATTGAAATAATGTGTTTGAGTCACCAACCCAAAGACACAAAGATTTCTATTCACCATACCTTCATTAATTACTTTCCACTTATTAAATACTGTAGCTGTATTCACTGGCAGCCTTGGAAACAGTGACTGAAAATAGTTTGGGATATACACCTGCAAAGTGTTGAACAATTGTGTCTCCATTCTGCTGTGTATAATCTCATCACTGTAGTTTTTAATACCTGCAGTCTGTTAATCAATAACTATTAAACTGGAATTTCTCAACCTTGAATGAGCCCTGACATCTGACAGATAAAATAAAATAAAATCAAGATATACTGTGTATTTGACAATTTTTGATATATTGCTTGGTATATTTGTAGCCGTACTAGAGGTGTCAGTCAGGTACACATTTTGATTCTGAGTGAAATCAACAACTACAGGATGGATTGCCATGAAATTTCACATTCATGTATTCAACTTTGGTAATCTGTCTAAGGTTTTCGTAAGAGTCATTCTGATGTTTATTACACTTTTGTTAGAATTGATTAGATTATAAATAACAATCTCTTGGTACACTGGTCTGGGTAATTACACTGCCTTAATGATATGTTTGACAGTATGTGAAAAATACGAGTATATCAGGTGGTGTGTGTGGGAGTCTGTGTGTCTGCAGGTGCACATGCCTTTTGTCCTACAGTATGTGTATCTAATGAAGTGCCAGATACAATGAGATAAATCTATCCATTAGTGTCCCTTAACGAGACTAAATCCACATGGCTGCTAATGAGTTGGTGCATCAGTCGTCCTCAGAGAGGACCTGACTGGAGATGGAGGCGACCCGGAGACGGACAGAGTCAGACCCTCTAAGCCAGTAAATCCACAGCTGCAGCTGTTGTAGACCTCCATCATTTAGCTGCTGGTCCTTCAGGAAGTGACTTCAAGCTAGCAAGCAGCAACAAGTGATTAGACAGTGGAATCATAGCCAGCACAGGGAACCACTAATCATCTGTAATCATTGATCTGCCTTTACTGGGCCAAACTCATTAGCCTGATGGAACAATGCTCTGTAGAATTCTGTTGTTACTGGGCTATTATTAGCTTTCAAGCTACTGCTGTGATAAACATATGTTCTCTACCCTTGCACGACATACCATGAAACAAAACATGGCTAATGTAACAGTATAAGGCTGAAATGATTACTCAAAAAACTGGAGGTATTCAAATAATAAAAGGCTCAATTCAAATTCTTTGCAAGTCAGTGTGCAAGAACTGATGCTGTGTTCTGACCATACAAGTTGAAAATGGAAAAAAGAGAAACAGAGAAAGAAAAAGTCCACCAGTAAAAACACCAGAAACTATCGAAGTTTTGGGAGCATCTTAATTTGAAGGCATGGCATACACAGTTCAAGCCTCTACTGCCTTCACAACTGGAGCATCGTGCCAATTATAAGAAGGATAGAAGTAGAACTACAGTGGCAGCAGAACATGAGATTATAAAAAACTGCAGCCTTATAAGAGTATAAGCAAAATAGCATGTACCAGAAAGCCCTTCTAAATGTCGAATTTGCTGTATTAGCATCAGTCATCTCAGAAATGTACAGTTGTGCATCTAAGTCAAGCGGCAGCTTCGTTACCAACACAATAAATCAAGTAATCAGACTTGCAGACTACAACATGATCACATACTGTAAACTCTATGTGTTGGAGGTTTGGTAAAAAAAAATCTAAATTAAACTGAGAGCATAGATGTCCATTATTGTGACAAGTTCATTTTTGCAGGCCAGGAAAAGAGATTTTATTCACTGTATGCTGTCCATTCCATTAGAGGTGATCTAGATGTGCTTAACATTGAACGGACATGAAGTCCGTTTCTCGGACAATGTTGTGTTTCACAGTTTTTGAGATGTGTTTCAATACATACACCCTAAATACACTGATTTCAACAAGAATACATTAAAATCATGTGAAACACCTTAAAAGGTTTCCTCGAAGGTGTGAGTAAATAAACACCAACTATAGCAGGAGATATCATCATGATAGTATTGCACTTATACTCTGTTAATGGCACCTTTATGATAAAAGTGTTCATAACTCGACTAACTGACGGAGAAAGAAAAGTAATGGGTGAGTGACTTTGCTCTCTATCTCTAAGATGGAAAGAAATACGACTGGGTGGCTTTTCCAGTGACAGATCAGATTTTTGCTCCACAAAGGCTTTGATCTTAAGGCTTTCTGACAGGCTTTAATCTGAGCAGACCACACACCCGCACAGACATCTTTTCATTGAAGCCCACAACATACAAAATGGACTCCATTTATTTCCACCTGTCTGTTTGTGGTTTTGAGAAGATCAGTGCTGCAGAAAACTCTTCCAGGGGACAGTGTGGTTGATAAATAACATGAAAGTGTCTTTAAAAAGGG